TGCAGGCTTCAGTAGTTGTGGCATGCGGGCTCTAGAGCTCAGGCTCAGTAGTTGTGTCGCACGGGCTTAGTTGCTTTGTGGCATGTGGGATCTTCCTGGACCAGGACTCAAACCTGTATCCCCTGCATCGGCAGGCGGATTCTTAACCACTGCACCACCAGGGAAGTCCCTACACTTACACTTTTGATTGCATTCTTTCCGGCTTCTAGAGATTACACCCCTCTTCAGCCTGAAAGTCTTTGATCTGCAGTTCCCTCAATGTCCTGTTCTGTCTGTACCTACCCTTTATGACCTCTGCTTTCTGACATTCCCCTGCAGTCAGATATTTTGCTCTTGCTGCTTTCCCAGACTGTTGTCAGAGGTCACCAGAAACCTCTTGGTCAGCACACTTGGGGGTATTTGTAATAGGCCTCATCCTGTGTTTCTCTGCAGCATTTTATACCATTGCCACCTCCTCACACCAAGGTTCTTGCCTTTTCTGTATCTCTCTCAATGACAATATATTTTCTTATTTCTCTTCTTCTGTCTAGTTGTACTATTCTTGTCTTTAAAGGATTCATTCTTAGCTTTTTTCCCCTCTTATTTCACTCAGTAGTCCCATCTAATCCTGGTGACTTAAGCCTTGTTATTGCAGAGAATCTCCTTTCTAGTGCTGCCTGTTGTCTCCACAGGTAACTAAACATTTCTACTCAGATGTCCTAGAGTGGACACATAGAACTCACTGTGTCCAAAATGAAACTTCTCTCTTACGAAGCCAGTTTCTGTGCTTCTCCTCTGGCGTTCTGCTATGCTACCTTTGTATCAACCTAGCACATGGCAGTTACTCTGCAAATAGGACCGGAAGCAATGAATGAATTCTTCCAGTTACTCAAGCTGGAATTCTGAGACTCACTTTTGACTTGATCTTCTTTGTGGCTGACCACATCCAGTCCTCTGCCAAGTCATGTCAGCCTCCATCTGGTATATCTTCTTGTATTCCTTTCTTCATTCCCACTGCTGTTGTTTGGATATTGCAGAAGGCTACTTGCTGGTCTTTATTTCTCTATACCTTTCCCTTGCTAATCTTTTATGTGTGTTGCTACTAGAGCAGTTTTGATTCCCAAGCCTAATGATGGTAATTTTACTCATTCTATATATATATATTTTTTTTGCTGTACGCGGGCCTCTCACTGTTGTGGCTTCTCCCATTGCGGAGCACAGGCTCCGGACACGCAGGCTCAGCGGCCATGGCTCACGGGCCCAGCCGCTCCACGGCATGTGGGATCTTCCCGCACCGGGGCACGAACCCGCGTCCCCTGCATCGGCAGGCGGACTCTCAACCACTGCGCCACCAGGGAAGCCCTACTCATTCTGTTTTTTTCTGCCTAGAATGCTATGTTCACCTTCTGCCTGTTCATTGAAATCCAGTTCAAATGGATTATTTTTCATTGGGTTTCCTGTCATTTATCTCCCCCTCCTCGTGTGTTCTCCAACTGCTGTTATTGGCACTTACCACTTTTACTTCATGTCATAGTTACTGTGTTTTATATTTTATCTCCCCTATTAGCCTATAATCTTGATTGCAACATCATTGTAATTTTTTTCTGTCCCCGTGCCTTGTACAAGGCATGCTTTCAAATATTTTCTCTTTATTAAATTTCTCTTCACAAAATATTTGTTTGATAAGTGAATTTAACTGTTACTCATAGAACATTAACCACAGATTTTTGTATATGTGGCTTTTTAGTGTGCTATTTTCATTTCCACATGGTTCAACAGTTCACTATAGTAATGTACTATATGTATAAATAAATAAATAAATAAATATATATATATATATAGAACTGTTGAAAACATTTATGATCTGAGGGGGGTTTTTTGGGACAGTTTGTAAGACTGGTTTAAGGTACTTCAATTTGAACCATTTTATTGAATCTAAGACATGTTTTCACATTGAAATCTCCAATATAGAGTTTTATTTTGGTTTTTTAATCTCCTTATAAATTGGTGGTATTTTAGAATCAGGAAAATGTGGTAAATACAATAAATATTGACTTTTAGTTAAATGGCCTTTTGGAACAATACCCACAACCTGGGTTTTCGTTTCTATTCTTAGAAGATAGACTCAGGTCTTTGTAGGTTCTGTTATCTTATTTTTTATTTCATTGCTGCTTAAAAGCTTTTAAAATGAGATGGTATGGGAGAGTTTTGTTTTGTTTTGTATTTTTACTCGTGGGGAGGAGTAAGGGAAACTACTATGTTTGAATTAGTAGGATTTTTGAAAGTAATGGTGCCGAAAGCTCAGTTTCTCTGTACACTGGTGCAGAATCGAATCTTGGAGACAAGAGTTTTGGGTGAAGTAGAAAAGGATAGCTTTATTACATTGCCAGGCAAAGGGGGACACAGTGGGCTCCTGCCTCTAAAAACTATGTGTCCCAACTTGGAGGATACTGAGAAGTTTTATAATAATGGTTCCAAGAGGGCATGATCAGCTCATGGACATTCTTCTGATGGGTTGGTTGGTGAGGTAAGTAGGAGTCAGCAACATCAACCTTCAGGTTCCAGCTGGTCTGGGGTCTGCATGCTTGTGGGCAGCATACCATTGTTAATCTTAACTTCTCCCACCTGGAGGGGGTTTCAGTATCTCCCAAACAGCTCAAAGATATTGTTGTGTGTATCCCTTGATGGGGAACCAAGACCTTGCACAAAGGCTGCACTATTGTTTCTATGACTGTTTATTTCTCTCTGGTCTAGCATCCCCTCGTTTCCCGAATTAACAACTGCTTTAATCTGCCTGTTGGAATTCAGGGAAGGTCATGGAGGCTGAATGAAAGCTATGTCTTGTAATCAAAGAAATGGGGGACACAGAAAGGCTTTGTGCCCAGGAGCCCCACAGGGCCCTGCTCAGTATCGTAATGTGTGAATGTAGAGTTAAAAGAAGCAAGTTGCAGGATTCCTAAAGTATAATATTATTTGTATAAAATTTTAAAACATGCAAAACAATACCAAACATTCTTAAGGAATCTGAACACATGCAGTAAGAATGTGATAATGTACAGGAGAGTCATAAACACCAAAATCAAGATGGTGGTTACCTTTGGAGGCAAGGTGGGTGGGGGGGTAGAGTGTGGGAGAGATGCCAGGGTGTCTTTACCCTGTTTGTAATGTTTACTTTTTGTGCCCAGGGGTGGGTGCTTGTTACCTTGTTCTCTTTACCTACTGTCTGTCTGAAATATTTCAACATTTTCAAACAGTATAGTTCCCCCCACCCTTAACTCTCTGCTCCCTAGTTTCCCTCCCAGAAGCAAAATTGGTTTCTTCGAACATTTCCAGACATGTGTATATAAACAAGAATATATTTATGTGTAAATTCCCCCACCTTTAAAAATAGAATAACCACTACCACTTTTATATAAATAGTAGTCTTCTCTACACAGTTTTACATTTTGCTTTTTTTACTTACTATGTCTTGGAGATTATTCCATATTAGTACATTATATATGTAGTTTTAATAAAAAATAGATTTAACCTTTTATCAATAATAATTGCCTTTATCTTTACCAGTTATAATCTAGACTTTATCCACTAATAAGTATAAATGTTTGTTTTGCTGTGTCACATTTGCTTAAGCAGTAGGAAATCTGGGTTTCTCCCTGATTCTTCTTTGCAGGCTTCCCAGGGTGCTTGATGTGTAGACTGTTCCCTAGGCTCCTTCAGTTGATGAGTCGTGTTTTCTTCTGGGAGGTGGAGAGGGAGGACATTGGGGCTCTGGAGTCCAGTGCCTGGGTTTGAATCCCCTTACGAGCAATGTGATCTTGGGTCAGTTAACTCTCTGTGCTGATTGTTTCTTCATCTGTAAGGTGCATTGAGTATTTCCTTTCTCATAGAGTTGAACTGAAAATTAAATGAGTGAAAAATGCCTGACATACAGGAAACAGTATAAACCGTTGACTGTTTTTATTATATTATCCACCACTCAGCATTTTACTGCCCAAGCTATTGCGAGTCTTCAGACAGCTAAACCCACACTCTCATCACTGACCTCCTTAAGACTTTGGTCTCTCTGGTTAGTAGGAAAACTTCATTTCTTTTTTTAGGACCTGCTTTTTTAGAGGAGGTTCTCCCAGCACCCCAGGGATGCCCTTTATACCCCAGCTGCCTTCTCTCTGCACAGTTGAGGTGGAGAAGGTAGAGGAAGGAGAAGGTGGCACAGCCTCCCACCTCCCAGGGCCCTCACGAATGTTCTTGCTGCTCTACTCACATCAGACTTCTCCGCCAGAATTATTTTGCATGTTCTTCCGCATGCGTGATTTTTTTCCCCTGACACCAGTGGTCCCATCCTTTATTCTACTTCATCGGGAACCTCCATGCTTGTATGTGTCTGAGTCCAGTTAAGGTCAGCGCTTAGGTTCTTTTCCATTGGGCTCCAGGCCCCATGTGAATCTGGGGATGTGGCTTGACATCTATTTTAAGGGCTCCTGTGACTGATAAGTTACCCAAACATTATATGATAGGAGGCCAGTGTCCCCTGAGCATAACAGAGGATCCCTAAGGAGCAGTGACAGCTCTAGCCCAGGCTGGACACACTGTAATGTTATTAACATTTATGGTCAACATTTGAATAGTAGTTTCCATTACAAGGTGCTTTTCACATAACTTATCTCATTTGGCCCTGAGGCAAGGATCAGTACCTCATTCCCATTTTTGCCAGTGAGGAAACTGAGGACTAGAAACTGTGGTTGCATGGATAAAAAAGGACAGACTTCCTTTCACGTCTTTGTCACCACACCAAGCCACCTTCTTACCAGATTTTAAAAAGGCCACATTTTATCATTTCAGCAGGGTTGAAATCAGTTGTCATAATGGGGTATTTAATGTTAGCTAAGTTTGGGGTAAAATTAACAGTATTGAAAACTGTTGAATAATTTCATTTAAATTTAGGTCTCCTTGTATTCTGTAGGTTTGAGTGATCTATAGCCAACCTTGTAAAAAAAAAAAATCTATATTATCCTTTTTCTCAGAGCCACAATGGACACAGCTAGCCATAGCCTTGTCCTTCTGCAGCAGCTGAACATGCAGCGAGAATTTGGTTTTCTGTGTGATTGCACAGTTGCTATTGGAGATGTCTACTTCAAAGCCCACAGAGCAGTGCTTGCTGCTTTTTCTAACTATTTCAAGATGATATTTATTCACCAAACAAGGTAAGGATGTGCTTTTGTAAATCAGAAGTATTTTTGATACTGTGATATAGCTAAGCCTTATTATAATCTCATTTTGGGGATTCTTTGTTACGGGATCACCTTAGGAAATAATAAAAATTTATAATTTTTTTACACATCTGTCATTAAACTCTGTGTAGGGTTCATGGTAGAAGATAGAATGAAAACAATAATGCCTAAAATCTATTGAAGGCTTATACCATAAACAAGCACTAAGCATTTATCTAATGTAAATTCTGTTATCCATACTTTTTTAGAGAAAAAGAAACTGTAACTGAGTTGTTAAGTAACTTGTCCATCTAGGATTATACAGCTAATATATTAAACTCAAATGCAAATCAGTGCTCTTAATCACTAAGTCATTGATTTCTATTCCATAACACTTTCATAGCAAGGTTTCAATGTCATAACTCTGCCCACTTTATATTCCGTATTACAGTTCAAATGTCGTTTGTTTCAAATGTTTTTTCAAAAAAATTTTTTAAAATCTAGATTGCCCCAGCGTGGGGTATTAAGGAGGGGGCTATAAAGTGGTATCCAGATTCTGAGCTCTTGGAAAAAAATAGCTTTAATACCTCCTAGGTTATAAGTGATGCAACACTGTATGATTTTTTTTTTTTTTTTTTTTTTTTGTATATGGTACGCGGGCCTCTCACTGTTGTGGCCTCTCCCGTTGCGGAGCACAGGCTCCGGACGCGCAGGCCCCGCGGCCATGGACCACAGGCCCAGCTGCTCCACGGCATGCGGGATCCTCCCGGACCAGGGCACGAACCCGTGTCCCCTGCAACGGCAGGCGGACTCTCAACCACTGCGCCACCAGGGAAGCCCTGTATGATTTTTTTTAAAAGACCTTACATGGTGGGACTTCTCTGGCGGTCCAGTGGTCAAGACTCTTTGCTTAAAAAAAAAAAAAAAAAAAAAAAGACTCTTTGCTTCCAGTGCAGGGGCCGTGGGTTCAATCCCTGGTCGGAAACTAAGATCACATGCCAGGTGGTGCAGCCAAAAAAAAAAGTTTATAGTCTAAGAGAGAGGTAATGCGTGTAAAGAAAATAATTGCAGTGTAATTGGTCTCTTTGCGCCTCAGTTTCCTTCTCTGTAAAACACTAGAATAATATACCCACCCCATGGTATTGAGAAGATTAAATGGATTAATAATATTAAAATGCTTAGAACAGAGCTTTGCACTGTTAGCTGCTGCTATTAATAGTTACTGTGATGTCTATAATAGAAGTGCTGCACAAGGTAGAGTGGAGTGTCAGCAGCCTTATTTTGAGAAGGTTGGCACAGGTTTTACAGAGGCTCTGAATGTTGCAGGATCAGGAGGAGTTTTTCAGATGTTGTAGAGGAACGCAAAAAGTTACAGTTGCAGGCAAAGGGGGAAAATGCATGAAAACATACGCAGATATGAACCAGGCTAGCACATTCAGAAAATGGAGTAGATCAGAATGATTGGAATATATGACACAAAGGGGAGAGGAGGTTAGAGTCGGGGACAGGTCATGGGTAGTCTTTTCTGCTACGCAAAAGAGTTTCCTCTCCGACTTAAGGGTCAGTGTAGAAACTAGATTAGAAACACTACCTTCACATAAGCCTCATCTGAGAGCAGTGAGTTGGTTCAGCTCTTAAAGCCCCTGTTGTGTACCAGGCACCATGCTAAACTAAATCCAGGCGATACAAAGGTAGCAGGCCTACTTTGTGGTATCTCTGTTGAGCAACTAAAAATCCTCAGTTAAAAGAGCTCTGTGCTGATATTAAAAAAACCCTGCCACAGACCATGGCAGTGAGGTAAGAGTCACAGGTAAGAGTGAAACCCAAGAGGGAATCCTAAAATGTCAGGACTAAAGAAATGGATTGCCGGTGTACTGACACTTGCTTTCTGATGTATCGACACAAACTTTTGCTTCAGGGAAGGTGAGTGCATCAACTGATTCCACTGTTCCTTGTCATCCAGCATTTCCCTCAGGTTGTTTTTATCCTAATTTTGCAGGGTGTTTCCTGATTTTCTTGTTACACAGTTATTTCCATCTATTTTCTGAATTCTAGATTCATATGTGAAAATTGGGCTTGAGATTAATTTAAACCTTTTCAAAGTTACACTTGTATTTGTTTGCAATTTAAAGAGTAGATATATTAATACAGTTTGGAAGCCAAAATAAGGTTAGTGTGATTTAAAATTCTAAATAGTACCAATTCCAATAGACCCTTTTAAAATTTTTAATTATTTTTTATTATGGTACGATATATGTAAACATAAAATTTGCCATTTTAACCATTTCTATTTGTACAATTCAGGGGCATTAATCACATTCACAGTGTTGTGCAACCATCACCAGTATCTATTTCTAAAACTTTTTATCACCCCAGAAAGAAACTGTAACCATTAAATAATAACTCCCCATTCTCTCTACCCCCAAGCTCCTGGTAACCTCTAATCTATTTTCTGTCTCTATGAATTTTCCTAATCTAGATGTTTCTTATAAGTGGCATCATATAAAATTTGTCCCGTTGTATCTGGCTTATTTCACTTAGCATGTTTTCAGGGTTCATCCATTTTGTAACGTATATCAGAACTTCATTCCTTTTTATGGCTGGATAACATTCCATTGTATGTATATGCTGCATTTTGTTTATCCATTCATCTGCTGATGGACACTTGGGTTGTTTCTAGCTTTTGGCTAATGTGAATCATGCTGTAATGAACATTGGTCTATAGGTATCTATTTGAGTTCCTGATTTCAGTTCTTTTGGTTATATACCCAATAGACTATTAAGTTCCTTAAGAGCAGGGTACCTATTTTATTCATCACTTTTCTACCCCCTGGCATGCAGTTTAAGTGCATATCACTTAGGAGTCACTAATTAAATGTTGAACTAATCAGAATATCTGTGTTTCTTAACTTTAGGCAGTAGATTGAATACATGAAGACTTGTTGCTGCGCCATAAAACTGGTATACAATGAAAACTTAAGCTTTTGTTGCTGAGTTTCATCAAGGCAGATTGCTAAGTTAGAACTTCTTAGGAAGAAACTGCTTTAGCCTAAGACTGTGTACTGTTAACTAAAAGGCCAACCGGGTTGTTTCATTCTGTGTGGGTCTGTTTTTTTGTTTTTAACAGTGAATGCATAAAAATACAACCAACTGACATCCAACCTGACATATTCAGCTATTTGTTGCACATTATGTACACGGGGAAAGGGCCAAAACAGATTGTGGATCATAGTCGTTTGGAGGAAGGGATTCGATTTCTTCACGCCGACTACCTTTCTCACATTGCGACTGAAATGAATCAAGTGTTCTCACCAGAGACTGTGCAGTCCTCAAATTTATATGGCATTCAGATCTCAACGACCCAAAAAACAGCTGTCAAACAAGGGCTGGAGGTCAAGGAAGCTCCTTCCAATAACAATGGAAATAGAGCTGCTGTCCAGGGTGACCACCCCCAGTTGCAGCTCTCTCTTGCTATTGGGCTGGATGATGGCACTGCAGACCAGCAGAGGGCCCATCCTGCTGCCCAGGCCTTGGAGGAGCACCAGAAGCCCCCCGTGTCCATCAAGCAGGAGAGATGTGACCCAGAATCTGTGATTTCCCAGAGCCATCCCTCACCCTCTTCAGAGGTGACAGGCCCTTCTTCCACTGAAAGTGGTATCAAAACACACCTATGCCATTACTGTGGGGAACGTTTTGATTCCCGTAGTAATCTAAGACAGCATCTCCATACCCACGTGTCTGGATCCCTCCCATTTGGTGTCCCTGCTTCCATTCTGGAAAGTAACGACCTTGGTGAAGTGCATCCACTTAATGAAAGTAGCGAGGCTCTTGAATGCCGCAGGCTTAGCTCCTTCATTGTCAAGGATAATGAGCAGCAGCCTGACCACTCACACCGGGGTGCCACAGAGCCTTTGCAGATCAGTCAAGTGTCTTTGATCTCCAAAGACACTGAGCCAGTAGAATTAAACTGTAATTTTTCTTTTTCAAGGAAAAGAAAAATCAGCTGTACTATCTGTGGTCATAAATTTCTCCGAAAGAGCCAATTACTGGAGCACATGTATACACACAAAGGTAAATCTTACAGATATAACCGATGCCAAAGGTTTGGTAATACATTAGCCCAGAGATTTCAGCCATATTGTGACAGCTGGTCTGACATCCCCCTGAAAAGTTCTCGCTTGTTGCAAGAACAGTTAGACTCATCTTGTGCCTTAGAGTCAGAACTCACACAAGAAAATGTGGATACTATCCTGGTTGAGTAGCAGTTTCTCCTTCAGGATTTTTGTATCAGTTCTGAAAAAGAAAACTCACATACTTCTTTTAATTCATAAATTATTTTTCTCCTCAAGTTCTATTGACTTTTTCTTTACCATTTATCCATAGTTTTAAGGTTGTATGTATTAGATCTTCTTATTGTAAGATATATTGATACATAGCTACTAAAATGTAACCTTCAATTAGGGCTGTCAAGTTTTCATAAATTAAATCACAATTTAGAAATCAGAAATCAATATAGAAGTATGGAAGTTTTTCCAGGTTGTAGAATCTATAAAATCAAATTGAATATGAAATAAGTGAAATCTTTTTTAAAGAATATTCTAGACTATCACTTTTGGTTAATGTTCCACATGAATTAAGCCCTTATGAGGATTATTTTAAAATATTTTCTGCCATACAGGGAATTAATAGTTTTTAGTGCATAACTATATGTTATAATGTATAAATCATTTGTTTTAAGGCATAGCTATACCAAATCATGAGTAGTTTTAAATTACTTTTTACTTACTAGCTCTGCAACATCTTATGTGGCTTTATTTTTTTTTAACACTGAGCATACCTCATTTTCAATAAAAAATATTTAAGAGAGAGAAAGGGAGAAGAGTCAGAAACACACACAAAAACTTAAACAGAAAGATACATACACATAGATAAGCATAGAAGCCCCTGGCGTTAGAGACAGAAATTCAGATAGATCTGTGTTGACTGACACCCTAATGTTATCTTAATCTAGAGTGTTTTCTTAAAGACCTTAAGGGAGGGGCTTCCCTGGTGGCGCAGTGGTTGAGAGTCCGCCTGCCGATGCAGGGGACACGGGTTCGTGCCCCAGTCCGGGAAGATCCCACATGCCGCGGAGCGGCTGGGCCCGTGAGCCATGGTCGCTGAGCCTGCGTGTCCGGAGCCTGTGCTCTGCTACGGGAGAGGCCACAACAGTGAGAGGCCCGCGTACTGCAAAAAAAAAAAGACCGTAAGGGAGTTTGAGATTTTTATGACCAGAGGTTTACATGAGCTTATGAGGTAAATGATAAAATACAAATTATCTTTCTGCCTACAGTATCAGAAGATTTTATAGGCTACCTGGGTTGACATTAATTTTCTAATAATCACCTGAAAAGGTAATTTTTCAGTGGCACAATTTAAACTTTTTTCTGGTCCATAAAACCAGTAGAGTAGATATAGTCAGTGTCCTAGAACTATGTTTAAAATCCATGACAGCCTTCCCTCTATGAATCAACTTAACTCCCTTTTATATTGGTGAAACTTACAAAGCTAAAATTCCAGAAAAATTAAAATTGGTGGACTGAATGATAGATTCTCCTGCTGTGTGTAGCTGGGAAATAGCTGGTTAAACTTCACCACAGAGTATAGATGTAAATTGTTTCTGAGATGTTTAAATTTAAAATACTAAAGAGTCAAGGATAACAAAAGAGAGGCTTCAGAACAGCCTTATCTTTTTTTGTATGCTGCCCTGCTAAATTCTAAACCTCACAGGTATCTTAGTAAATTTAATAAATTTGGTTTGTGAAGATTAGAATTAAACTACGTACAGAAACTGTTTGATCTCCTTCCTGACTGCTCACTTCTGCGGTTATTTCCTGACATCAGAGTTCCTCAACAGTATCCGAGTTCAGTCAGGATGTAGCTCAAAGAGAAATCCAGCTCATTCTGAGGGCACAAAGGTTTTCTCTGGGTTATCAGTGAGTTTAGGTGAATTATGAACTGATAAGTTTTTCTTAAGGAGTGAATGAAGAAAACCAATGGGCATTGTCTAAGGTGGTTGAGTTTCTGTCGTAGACATGGATGGGAAGCCTTGTGGGGCCCAGGTTGACATATGTTAAGAGCAAAATCTAAGTAGCTATTGATACAGAGTCAGTTGTATTGGGAGTAGTTAAAACAAATGTATTGCTCTTTAGTGTCAGAACTGCATCTAATCTTATATGTAAATCATTTAAGTAATTATTCAAACTCATGCTGTCCTCAAAGACTTCATCTCATAGGATGAACACAAATATTAACATTGATTTCATGTATCTTAGGCTATTCTAGATAGATTCCCTAGCCTTCTTCAAGTAAAGTTTTATTTTTCTCATTTAGATAAAAATTTTCCTGATTTTTCTCTTCTGTTTTCTTTCCTATTTGCTCAGTCATTAGTCGTTGACACAAAAAAGTGTGTATAGCTAAAGGGTGGGAGTAAGTGTGCATATGAATTGTGGTGTAGGGCAGCAGTTCAGGGCAGAGTCTGGATGTGGCAAAAGTTTGCTTTTGGCTGACTGTTCATGACAGACAACATTAACTTAAAGCAGAGATGTTGGGTGCTAAGAAAAGAGTGCTTAACTATTTTTATTCTTATTCATAAAGTTACTTTTATTATTAGGAATTCAAAACAAATGTTCTTTTCCTTCATCTTCACAGTATTCTGTCTATATTAGGAAGTGGGAAAATGATTACTCCATTTTATAGGAAAATATCCCAAAACCTGGGTTCCAGAGAGCCAGTGAATCACTATTCACTGTGGGAAATGACCCCTTTTTCATTCATTCAACAGGAATATTTTAAAAATAGCTATTTTATGACTAACACTGTGCCCTGAGTGTATTTTTTTAAGACATGATTCCTCACTAAGAAAAATCTACTTTGTATAAAAAAGTCCTCCCAGCAAAACCCTTTAGTTTTGACTACATCATTTGTAAAATGGAGCTATTATCTTAGCCATATAGTATGGTTTGCATGATGATTATCAAACTCTTAAAACTGGAAATGCTGTGTACACCTTAATGTATTGGGCAAGTACTAGACAGACATTTTCCCTTTGGATCAGCTTAGAATTTTCCCTTCTTTCTAGATCCCACATATAATTGTTCTCTGGAGGAAAACAGACTGTTTAGGATTTGTCCTTATTAGCCTATTGTCAGAACTCAGTATCTGATAAGTGCAGTCTGCCTTATAAGAAAACCAAAATTTCTTGATTTATCTCCTGAGATTATTATCTCTTTCTCTGATTTTCTGACTTCCCATCTGTAAAGTGTCTGTAAGCAATCCCTACCTCACAGGGGTGTTGTGAGGATTTGTATTAAAACTGTGTTAAGTTCTATCAGTATTACTGGTAAAAACCAACCATATAAAGAAAACTACATTCTACATGTTTTCTGCAGCTAAACCTATTAACTTTAGTATTCCAACTCATAAATTCTAGAATGTCTTAAAAGCAGTCATGTACTACTTAATACTCAATAATTAATTGGCAGAATTCTTATTTTTTTGGCAGAATTCTTATTTATTTTTTTTTTACAAATACTCTAGAAACAGCAGTGTTGCTAGAATTCCTATTCTACCTACCATAGTTTAACCATCAGTATTTCTCTTCAGCCTTTAACAAGGAGGATATTAATTCTTTGGTGTTATTGGGAATGAAACCTTGCCAAGTGCAACTTTATTTAAAGTTCCCCCAAACGTATTATTTACATATAGGAAACGGAACAAAAGCAATGGAGAAAATACTATTTTCATTTCTCTGATGTAGGTCATCTAAAAAGTAGATGGAGACCAGAAATGGAGCAGGGCAAATAACCGAGTAATTCATTATGTTTTGTCAAAATAGTAAGGCTTCACTTAAAACAGAAGGAAATACATATTAATCATGGAAGAAGATAGTCTGGAAAATGTATAATTCCACTGATGTTTATTTGCACAGGCAAATTCTTGATGTTGTAACTCAGATCCTTGAGAAGTATCCATTTTTTTGTAGTAATTGAGGTAAAAATAGGCGATGTGAAGAATTTTCATAATGTAACTTGTATCTTTGTATGTTTTAAACTAAATGTAGCTCTATGGTATTTTATTATAATTAATTTTTGAATTCCTAAGAATGAAATCTGTACATTTTTATTCTTTGCTGTACTTCTGTGTTTGTATGGTTGGACTTGTTTGAAAACTGGTAAGATTATACAATCCTATGCCTGGCTGTCTTAAATATAAGGAATTACAAACTGTGATTTTTGTCTTCAAGACCTGGAAGAATCCTTTGTGCTTCAGTGTATATCTGTGCCACACTTGATTAATTAGTAGATATTGCTCCAATGCAATTGATGTTAACTGTCATCAACTCTTCTATTTTGTGCCAAATAAAGTCATTTAATCAGATTAAATAAAATATCAACTTAAAATACTTTCAGAGAAACTTGGATTTCAAAAACCTGTACCAAAAAAAAAAGGCAAAAGGGAATTCCCTGGTGGTACAGTGGTTAGGAGTCTGCACTTTCACTGCCGAAGGCCTGGGTTTGATCCCTGGTCGGGGAATTAAGATCCCACAAGCTGCACAGCACGGCCAAAAAAAGAAAAAGAAAAAAAGCAAAAACTTGTACAATGAAAAAGGGCCCCTGAAGAAACCTTCAAAGTACTAGTAATAGTAACACATAATACAGGAGACTGAAATCAATAATATATTGTATGGTTAAACTCTTCCACCTAATGTATTGTGAGTTTGCTTCAGAAACATTATTTCAGAAAGTTTCGTATTCTCCATTTGGAATGAAAACTGTGAATTTCATGTATTTTATCATGACAAATAAATTAATGTGACTTGATCATAAACAAAACCTTTTATTAACTCAGCTTATAGAATGTGTTCTTATTTTACAGCAGTGTCTGCCAAATGTTGTCTTCCTAGTGTTGAGGTAAGTGGTCTCTGTACCAGGTAACACTTTGGATGTGTGATGCAAAAATGCATCAGTGAGTCCAATTCTTACCAGCCATAATCTGTGTTAATAGAAAAGTGATGTCCTAATCAAGTGCTTTCCAACTGCCATCTCTGGAAAGAAAGGTACTATGTAGTCATTTCCCAGAAGTTTCTTGCTTTGCTCCTTCCTTTCTTCCCTATTTTCTCTCTATCTCCTCCAGTAGCGTAATCTGCAACAGTGGTTCTTAGCCAGGACGTATTAGTCAGGTTCTCCAGAGAAACAGAACCACACTGTGTGTGTGTGTGTGTGTGTGTGTGTGTGTGTGTGTGTGTGTGTGTGTGTGTGTGTGAGAAAGATTGAGTGATTGATTGATTATAAAGAATTGGCTCATGCAGATATTGAGGCCAAGTCCCAAGATCTACAGTTGGTAAGCTGGAAACCCAGGGAAGCCAATGGTGTAGTTCCAGTCCAAACTTTGCAGTTTGAGAATCACAAAGGCAGGAAAAGACCAATGTCCCAACTTAATAGGCAGAAGTTACCCTTACTCTTAGGAGGGTCAGCTTTTTCTATTCAGGCCTTCAACTGGTTGGACAAGGGCCACTCACACTAGAGAGGGCAGTCTACTTTACTCAGTCTACTGATTCAAATGTTAATCTCATCCAGAAACACAGACACATCCAGAATAATGTTCGACCAAATATCTGGGTATCCCATGGCCCAGTCAAGTTAGACACATAAATTTAACTATCACACGGGGTGGTCCCCTTGCACCATGGTGAAATTTGGCAATGTGGAGGTGTTTTGGGTTGTCACAGCTGGGTGGGGGTAGGGGAAGGTTGCTGTTGGCATCTAGTGGGTAGAGAGACCGAGGGTGCTCTAAACATCTCACAGTGTAGAGTATAGGCCCCACAACGAAGAGTTTTCCAGCCCAAAATGTCAGTAGTGCCGAGATACGCTACTCCTGGTCTAGAAGGGCAAAGTAAGTTTTATGAGGATTGTTAAGAGCTAAAGGATACAAAACTTAAATTTAGCGATTTTTGTCCCAGTCATCTTTGAAGTTAATACAGTTCTTATGGAGTATGAGATGTGTTTGTTCAGAATTAAATTTCTATCTGTATTCACTTTTATGCCATCTTTTCAAAGGTACAAAATGTGATTATTAAAAATCATAGATGTATTAAGCAACAAGACAGTTTTAAGTCTGTTCATATAACCTTTGAACTAAACAATTGTGTCTATAATAAGGTCTCTCTGAAATTAAAATGTGATCGTAGTTTGTAATTTGTGTAAATATTTAATCTGGCCAAAAGGTGGCACCAGTGTACCTTTTAAAAGTCTATTTTACATTATGCTCAAATTTGGCATCACTGTTTGCTTAATTCACATATATTTAATACTTAGCTATTCCTGAATCTTGCTTCACTTTATAGAGTCATGACTAATGAGAATCTTCCTTGAATCCCATAATATATTAGGTACTGAAATATACTGACATCCCTCTTTGATCAAGATGCTTCCAATTTACCTGTACAGCAGCAGATAACTTTTTAAAATATCACATTTAGTGTGCTTGTTATATCAAGCATTTCTGAGGATTCTTGTAAGTCTTTAACATTAAGTCTTCAGAATTTTAGTCTCAATCACATTTGTTCTTCTAATCAGACATCAGACTCAGTTTTTGGTGTTCTACCTGGTCAAGAGATAAATCCAGGGACATTTGAGTAAATACCCCCTAGTTTCTTACCTCTTGCTTCTTTTCTTCATAGCCACAACCTCGGAGTTTGGCCTGTATATTATTTTCTGAAATTTACTTTCTCTTTCAACTGTGATTCAACAACTGGCTTTCTAAGCTGCTGTTCTTTATCCTTTTCTTCCCTCACTTCCTTCCACCAGTTTCATTCTCCGAGACGGCTGAGACATTCTCTAATAGAGTTCTTGTACCTTCCAATACTGAGTGAATACAGGCTACCCTTTCCTCCCCATAATTTCTGCTTACAATTTACTATTAATATTATCCTAGGACTTTGTACCTCATCACCAAATGCTTCTCTTAAATTTATTTTACAACTGATTAGCCAACTTGGGCTTGGGCAACTTGGGAGAATTAACCTGCTTCCTCCCAGATAAATTCTCTTCCAGTATTTACATAATGTTGAAACTTTTTTCATTGAAACAACTTGGTGATATTGTATCAAAATAATGGAAATAAAGGATCTTCCCTTAAGCTGTTAGAAAACCTTGGTGTCCTTTTATGTCAGAAATCTGAAGGAATAGCAGTGCTCTGGGAGAGCTTCTCTGCACAACTGAACTGGTCCTTGCTCTCTTGGGAGCTGGGGGAGAGGCTTGTGCAGGAAGGAGGCCTGGGAAGGAGGCCTTCATCAGCTGCAGTTGTTATCCATTGTCTGATCTATGCTATTACTGAATTTCAGGAAGGTTCATGTTAGATTTTTGTGGACCAAACAGGCCTTTGAGGAATGAGATCTTGTGAATTTAGCTCTGCCGCATTTTTCTGTAGTGGAAGCCATATGGTACTTAGTCCAAACCATATGTAGGAAAGTACCTAATTGAAAAAAAATTTTTTTTTTGGTTTCTGGCATTTGTACTAAGTGCCTTGTAGGGAGGAAAATCTAAAGAACCTATGGTGGTTCTATAGGAAAAGGATACATTTGCAAAGATAAGGGAAAAGGTTTTAAAATGCAGACCAAAGATTCCAGTGGAGTGAGTCTCAAAAGATTTTTTTACTGGACCAGTTCTCATTTCCCAACATTGCCCTTCTTTCACATATGTGCATAGTCTGGTGTGAGCTCGGTGGTACCTGTCCTCTCTTTCTATCACAACATTTTAAAGTGTGGGAGGAAAGGCATATAAATGGAAGGCTCCTTTTTAAAATTTAAAACATTTCCTGTTTCACTGTTAACATCACCAGTTTTGCAGATCTCTCAAACTGGTGGTTATGTTCAGACCCACCACATAGAGCCATGCAAATTATGCACAATAAACTCTAGGGGGCGTCACTCACCAAATGCGTGCTTCTGGAGTTGGGCTGTATAGTTTGAACAGCTGTGCAAGGCAGCCGTGCCTTTCCTTATCCTGGGTTAAATGTTGAGTCTAAGAAGCCCTTATTTTGAATTTCTGCAGCAAGTAGCAGTTTTCACTGATGCAGCCAGGAAATTATATTAAACTAAAATACACAGGTGGTATAAAGAACAATGAAATCAGAATAAGAAAAAATGAATACTCCCTAGGTGACACAACTATGTGTTTGTCAAAATGTGTAGAACTGTGCACTAAAAAGGGCGTATTTTACTGTATGTAAATTGTACCTTAATGAAAAAAGGTTAAGACCACCCAGATAAATATAGAAAGTCTTGGAGCTTAATGAGCCATGATGATTATCATTCACTTTTAATCCTTCCATAGGTCAGAAAAAAACACCAGCCAGATATTGAGTATAGAGAAGAAAACCCATGAAACTAAAAAGGTAATTCTGAAATTCACTCTGAAATAAGCCAAATTACTGATAAGGCTGTTTGTGGCACATCTGAAAGGTTGACTTTTTTTCACCTGAATTGAATAGTGAGCGACCAATTATTTTGGCATTCCGTGCATGTTAGCCTTCACAGAGTACAAGAAGAGTTCTAACCAGTTATTTTGATCAGGGGGATAGAAATACTCTAGTTAAGTTTTGGGTTTTTTAAAATAAATTAATTTTATTTATTTTTGGCAGTGTTGGGTCTTCGTTGCTGCATGGGGGCTTTCTCTAGTTGCAGCGAGCGAGGGCTACTCGTTGCAGTGCGCGTGCTTCTCATTGCGGTGGCTTCTCTTGTTGTGGAGCACCGGCTAGGTGTGCGGGCTTCAGTAGTTGTGGCACGAGGGCTCAGTAGTTGTGGCTCGCGGGTTCTAGAGCGCAGGCTTAGCAGTTGTGGCACACGGGCTTAGTTGCTCTGTGGCATGTGGGATCTTCCCGGACCAGGGATTGAACCTGTGTCCCCTGCATTGGCAAGCAGATTCTTAACCACTGCGCCACCAGGGAAGTCCTCTAGTTAAGTTTTTATACCACAAATGGCTATTCCACACGGAACCTCTGCATTGTAATTTATATATGAGGATATTTGATTGGTTTGAGCATGCATGCCTGTAGCTGCATTACTCTTACCTGTGACTGATCACAGATATGGTCCAGAGACCCACTTGTAGCTATACTGACTGGACCTTCCTGTGTTCTGAAGGTACAGATGTCAAAGTAGGGATTTGGGAATAAAAGGTTTGAGTACAAGTGTACAAATGACTGCATCTGCTTTTGTGTCACCCTGTGCTCCCTATCTCCCAGGAATATGGAATTGGAAGGCCTGTTTTTTATGGCAACAAGCATAGCAGTGAAAAGTGTAGGAAAGGCTTAATCTCTGCTCTATAATTGCACTGTCATAAATATCAAGATAAGGCCAAAAGTCCTATTTGAGTCTAGCCACGAAACAAATTGTGAGGAAAGTGTGTCTCGTCTTGCTAACATGAAGAAACTGCTGGACACCACTACCATTGCTATTATGATAGTTTGGAATTTACAGAGACAGTTTTTTTTTTTTTTTTTTTTTTTTACAGAGACAGTTTTAAGTTTGGGAGTTTCCCAACCTAGGAGCCACCATCCTCCCCTCACGTAGGTTTTCCTTAATTGTTCGTAGTGTCTGTGCCCAGCTTTGCTGAGGATTTTCTGTGAATGTATAGTGTGCTCATGTACATATATACATATACTTGCTTTTTTCCCTAAGTTCAGGAACTTAGCCTCCAGTGATCTCAAGCTTCAGGGAAAAAAAGAAAGGTATGTACTTCTCCAAGGGATTGGGAACTCCAGAATTCAGCGTTAAGGGCAGAATTGCCTGAGAGGACAAGTGTTGCAAAAGGTTATGTACTTTTCTCTTAAATTAGAAAGATGTGAT